ATAAGCAGCTTCACTTTTTCTTTCTTTCTCTTTCTTTCTTTCTTTTTCTTTCCTTCCTTCCTTCCTCCCTCCCTCCTTTCTTTTTCTTTTTTCTTTCTTTCTTTCTTTCTTTCTTTCTTTCTTTCTTTCTTTCTTTCTTTCTTTCTTTCTTTCTTTCTTTCTTCCTTCCTTCCTTCCTTCCTTCCTTCCTTCCTTCCTTCCTTTGTTTTTTAACATAATAGCCAAAAAAAATGTTTTCTTTTGAAAAGGGCAATTTACTCATTTTTCATAGACAGGATTTATCTTATTATGTACAAAAAGAATACAAACACATATGACATTTTACTTCCTCAAAGCATTTTCACATTTATTACTTCAATTTAGTATCATACCACCATAAAAGAGGGCAATGGGATACTGGTATCCACTTTTTTTTTTTTTTTAATATTCAAGGAATATTGTTCCTGAGTAGCAGAACCAGGGTTAGAACCTGGGCCTTACAAACCAATGGACGGACTACTTCACTGATGCACACAATTCATACTAGTTGGTGGTCTGTGTTACACGTATCAACTGATGGTCATGCTATGGATGTGATTCACCTTTAGTGATCAAATCTGCCTTCATGAAAAATCTTCATGAGAGCTTTGGCCCCACCCCAAAGAAGTAATTGGTATGTTGTACAATTGGGCACTGGGATGACAGGGGTTTCCAAAGCCCCCCAGGTGATTCTAAGGTTCGGGCAAGGTTGATAAGGTTGAGAAACACTACTACACACAAATATCGATTTTGATGTGTATACCCTTGTTAGAATTTCTAAAGTGGCATGGTCTGCGATAAAAGCTTTAAATGAGATTCCCATACCTGAACTACCCAAATCACTTGTGTCTTCTTTCTTACCCTGCTTAAAAAATGAGGGCTTCAATGAAATGATTATGGGGCCACTTGTGTGCTGAGGTATCCAGCTGCAGTTTAAGCTCTTCTCTAATGCCCATAAAAATGAATAATGCATGCTTTAAAATATTGGTAACAAAAGGCAAAAACAGAATACAAACTCAATGGCCTGAATCCATGGATTATTCTGCAGAGACTGCTACATTGGGAAACTGGAAGAAAGTACTTTTCAAAGTATAAATACTTTAATCACTCTCTAATTCTACTTCTTTCACATAAATAAGAAACATCCCATCTTCAGCTTCCTCAGCCTGGAGCAGCAAGGAAGCAGCTGCTTTTCCAAATATTCGCTTCCGGCAGAAGCATTAACTACCAAGTACTAGATATCTACAAACTAGTGTCCCAAGCAAGGTGGGTTGTAGAAGAAATTCCTGCACCTGCTGGAATCTAGTTATTATTTGTAAAATCAGAATTTTGGATTGAGGGATACTGCTTCTCCAGTAATGAGCTGAAGGAGGCAGATAGCTAAGCCCCTTCTTACAGAACCCGGGCCGTAGGTCGACAAGCAAACCCGCCACCCATGCTTCTGTTCAGAGTGGCGACAGTCTGAGATGGTGTCCAACAAAGTTCAAAAGAAAGTGTGTCTCATGTTGGGCTCTTTTAAGATATTCTGAATTCGAATTTGGACAATCTTTGGAAACAAGAAAAACATTAAATCTACCAATAACACCGAATCCACGTTTGTTCCTAAATTCAATAGCTTCTGCTACCAAGTTAATAACAAGAAGAAAAATGAACTGATGAAAATTTTGGCTCTTCTTCTCTCCTTTCCAATTTATTATCTGGCAAAGCAGAGCAGTGGCTGATAGACAAGCAGCAGGAAAAAAATCAGGAAGAACTGACCTAGAGGCCCGCATACAGGGCCCATCTTTTTTCAAAAGCCTGTTAGAGGCAGAATAGGGACATAAAAGAAAAAGGACGTAGTTAAATCTGTGTTGGAGTGACCACTAGCAGAACTCTGACTGGTATGATGCTGGTCTACCAGCAAATAAAACAACAACGAAAAGCTCATCTGTCCACATTTCAATACTTTAAATTGATACACACTAATACAGATACAAATGTAATACACCTACAAATTAAATATACATTATGGTAGGCAGAAAAATGCACCCCCCTCATTGATGTCTACATTCCAATGCCCAGAATCTGTGTCTATGTTATGTTATATGACAAAGGGGAATTCAGGTTGCAGATGGAATTGAGATTCCTAACCGGCTGACCTTAAAATAGGGAAGATTATCCTGGATTATCCAGGCGGTCCAGTGTAATCAATCACAGGGGTAACTAAAAGAGTGAAAGATCCAAGCCAAAGAGGGATCAGAGTGATGAGGTGTGACATGAGAAGGACATGACCTGTTGGCTGGCTTTGAAGATAAAAAGGGCCACGAGCCAAGGAACGCAGGTGGCTTCTAGAACCTGGAAGGCAAGGAGATGGATGCCCCCACTAGAGTGGCCAAAAAAGACCACAGCTCTGCTGACTCCTTGATTTTAACCCATGAATCCCATTTCTGGTTTCTGAGCAATGTAACTGTAGGAGAGTACCTTTGTACTATTTAAGCTACAAAGTCTGTGGTAATTTGTGACAGCAACCCTAGAAAACTAGTACACACATGATAAAATAGTGTATAACTGATAGACTTTTCTGTTCCAGAAGTAAGGCGTGCATAATACTAAAAAGAAAAAAAGCAAACAAAACAAAACTATTTCACGTAGAAAACTTAAAGCACTTGTCATTCCCATCCCTGGCCCTCCTCTGTTATCCACTCTTGACCAAGGGATATGTGTACACAGGATGGGACCCTCTGCCTCTCAGGCTTCTGACTGCCTCTTCACAGCCATAAACCACCATCACTATTTGGCCGCATGTACGTGACACCAGACTGACGTCTATGATCAGTAGACAATGCAAAAAGATGGCACTAGGGCCACAATAAGATGGCACTAGGGACACTTATCATGTTCCCCAATCCTGGCCCTTAGGTCTTGCCAAAGGCAGTTTTTACAGCCACATAAGTTAATTATGAAAAAAGTTTCAGAATGACACTTGGGGGACCTCACCCTGCACAGGCAGGATATCATTACCACTGACCCAAGTAGCTGGTCGTGATGAACCACACAGATCCAATGGCCACGCTCACCAACTCCAGACTGAGGCCTCTGGTTCCCTTTGCTAACAATGCATTCTTGGGACTTCGTTTCGTAAACTGTATGTTCTGTAGGATTTAAGCGTCTAAGTGCTAAGCCTCTTGAGCCATTCCTCTGCAGGAATTTGGTAATATTTTCCATATACCTTATCTGTGCATAGATGAACAACAAAAATATTTGCATTATTATCATTTATAAAAATGCTGATTTCTGTAACTCAGAAGAAGAAGGGTGAGTGAAATCCTCTCGGAAAGCAGACAGATACCTGATGCCAGAGCACATGACAGCCAGAGAGGTTTCCTTCTCCTGAAAGAACAGGTGTCCCATGTACATAGGAGCCGAGTACTGGACGGCTTTCAGAAACACTGTAGTACCTGAAGAGTTGATCTGATCCAGGGCAAAGTGGCCTTGGCCATTTCAGAGACTACTTAACTCTCCCCTTTTTTTGGCTTGATTGTACAAAGGTTTCCCTGCTCCTTTATTCCTCTTTCCCAGGGATGATTTGCACCTCAATTGCCAAGTCCCTCATAATCAAGTGAAGTACACTTAGGAGGCTGCAGAATTACTGGATTTCTTTCCTCCACTTCCCTTCTTCAGTCATGCCTGTCCCTGGGCATAGCTGCTTAGACCCGTGGCAGCTCTAGATTCTAGCTGGCAGAATCAGGGCTCTCCACAGAGGGGCGTCGCTGGGGCCTATTTCAATGAATTAAATAGATGGCCCAAGGCGACTAAGACAGCTTTGTCTGCTTCAACTGCAGAGAAGATCATCATGCTGATGGAGACCTAACAGAGGTTTGGCAAAGAGTATTATTTCCTTTTCCTCGTTTTCTTTCCTTTCCACCAATATCACTTCAAGATGCCACGAACCAGAAATATGGTGGAAAAGAACGATGGATGGAAAAGAAGTTCAGAGGAAAGGTGACAGGGAGGCACAGACCAAGGAGAACATCAAGTGCAGTTGGAAATTTGATCTGTTCACCAGCTGTGAAGGTCCCACAGGACGACAGTGAGATCGGACCCTTAGACTCTTAACAACAGTTACGTCCCCAGGACCAGGTCAGCAGGCATGGGTGACAGAACCAGTCAAACCCAGATCCAGCAATAGTAGCAAATGAAAGGGACTGAAGGCCTCTCCCTTTAGTCCCTTTCAGGTATAAGGGACTGAAGGTATAAGGGACCTTATACCTCTCCTAAATACACCTGTCCCAACCATCAGTTATTACTAGCCATGTGATGATCGTTAACAAGGCCTTTATCTAAGGATAAAGATTTTGTTTCTCTTGAAAAGTTCATATGATACTTCTGCTTCCTCTAAGTTGGTCAACACTCTTCTCAGCACCCAACATTCACTCACAAAGAGAAACATAAAATTTGCGCTCTTACAGAAAACCAAAGAAGGCATCCGTTCAAAGAATCAAATGCTTTCTGTAAACTAAAAAAAAAAAAAAGTTCCATATAAACTTACTCAACTCCCTGAAAGAGATTTTGCATTTGAATAAAAACTCTTTTTGACACAACAAAGGGCAGATTATCTCAACACATCCATAATCTGCGAAGAAACCAAGTCACCTAGACAGAGCAGCCTTCCTGACCTCATTCTTTTTCTAACAGCTGCCTGCACACCGGTGGAGGGGAGGCCTTTTCCCCAGGGGATGTTGCCATAACACGGCATCCCAGACTAACGCCCTTAAAGGAAAAAGTTAATCTAGACAATATTTTTCAAGAAAGGATCTCTGCTGGTGGCTCCAGTTTAGTTAGCCAAAAGGAACAAGACTGCTCCAGGCCTATCCCAGCAGAGATGAAAGCATCACCAACACACAGCTCAGGTCCATACGGGTATGATAGCCAAGGGACGACGCAGAGGGGGGCTCCTTTGGGGACACAGTAAGCTGCTGCCTCTGCCTCAGATTCAACCTTACCTTGTTGAAGTCTTCAGAAGTTGCCCTCATTTCCTTCCACGTCTTGTTCAGGAGCTGGATACAGATGCAGAAAAATTCCTCGAACGATCTGTCGTGGGTGAAGAACATTGGGTGGAAGTCGTTGCAGGTCTCACTGGCTGGAAGAAAGAGAAGGGAAATAAGAGAGAAAGTTTGCAGAGTGAAATAAGAGGACACGGCCACACAGAGGGGTCCCAAAGAGAGGACGGGGACATGTTTGGCTCAAGCCACAGTGGACGTAAGGCGTTGTGAAAAAGTAACCTAAGGACAGTCCCCCGTGCAACTGTGAAGTCGAAGGTCAGACAGTCAAGACCTATCCCTAGGCGCCTATTTCGCCTAAAGGAAGTCAGCTCCTGACGCACCCCACCACATGACCCTCACACCTTTTTTTCCAGGATCCCTGGGGTTGAATATGGGCTCTGTGTCTGCTTCTTTGACCTTATAAGGATGATTCAAACTGGCCTCTCAGTCACAGCTCCATCACCCTTAATTTCCCCTTTCTCGACAGAATAACTGGCAGAGGATGAGCTTTCCCCAGCACACAATTAATTGCAACTTTGAAAATAGCATCCTTGATGATTTCTCCAGGGGCCTCTTTTCCTTCTTATGGCAGTAAGCAGGGGGGGACATTTGAGATCATATACCATCTGATGCCATTAACCATTTGTTTTACATTCCCAGACACAGATGGCTGGAGGTCAAAGCAACCCAAATGGCTCTGGAGGCCGCAAATGGTCCAGTCCTGGACCAGACCATGACATCAGCCAGACTGCCTTCGTCCCTTCCCAATGCAGAGCTTCTGGGAATCAGAGCCAGCGCTCCGAGCTCTAGCTGTGTCTACTTTCTCCTCCTTCCCAGACCAGCACCCCAGCCATCCTCTTCTTCCCTGCTATCTGGGCCACTTATATTTTTATAGTCCTCGTACCTACATCTCATGGGATCTTTACAATGCCTCTTCTGGTTCATGCTTCATGGACGAGGACAATGGAAGGAGCCAGGTTTTGTGACCACCCCCTGCCCAAAACAGTATCCTAAGTTTGTTTGTTTGTTTTAATATAAGCTGTATGTATAGTGAAAGAATTCCTATTTTAATTGGAATCTCTTTAAGGCCAGTTAGTCTTCAAGGTTCCAAATGGTGGAATTTCCGGCCCAGGAGAGGAGGATGGGGTGGGGCTGGAGCAGGGTTTATAGCAAAGATCTTCTGTATGTGGGGAAAGCCCTCTGCCTACCATGTGGTGGATTCCACTTGGAGAGAATCCTCTGGTGCAGGCCCCAGGAAGTGAACCCTAACCAAACCTAAGGGAACACACTCTGCTCTGCCTAGGCCGCAAGCTATGATGCACCAACCTCTTCTATCTTAGTGGAATCCAGACTTCTAGAACGGTAGATACGAAGACACATAAATGCTGTTTTCTTCCAGACCTAGGTAAGGAAACAGGCTAGCAGCAACATACAGTCACATAGGGAAGGTTTGGGTCTGAGGACAGAAGATTTGGGTTCAAGTCCAGCCTGTGCCAATCAGGAGCAAGTCACTTTACCTATCTGAGCCTCGATTTTTTTTTTTTTTTAAAGATTTTATTTATTTATTTATTTATTTATTTGGGAGAGAGAGAAACAGCATGAGAGGGGAGAGGGTCAGAGGGAGAAGCAGGCTCCCCGCCGAGCCGAGAGCCCGATGTGGGACTCGATCCCGGGACTCTGGGATCATGACCTGAGCCGAAGGCAGTCGCTTAACCAACTGAGCCACCCAGGCGCCCTGAGCCTCGATTTTTTTAACTAAAAAATGTTAATGACGTCTCCTTGTCCATCTCCATAGGTTTTGGAGAGGATCAAATGACATGACTCATGGGAAAGCGCTTTGAAAGGATAGAAGTTGTCACAAACGTGGAGCAAGGTGGTGGTGATGATAATGGATGTTGTGTCAGTGTATTGTTTCCAAGAACATGGGTTGTTCTTTGATCCTTCCCCGCCCCCCCGCCAGTTCCTAGTCAAGCCTGTTCCCATTTCAGAAATGAGCAGCAAGAACGTATGTCACCCCAACCCCCAGCCTGTGTCACTGGCAGAAAAATGGCGACAGTGAAGTTCTGACCTGGGACACAGAGCTATTTAAAGAACTTGGACCGTAAACACAGGCGGATTGTGTGTTTGCTGCCCTGGGCAATGAGCTGTCAGTCTCACTTTCATAAGCACGGAAGCCAATGGAATTTACAAGTCCATGGCAGCTCTCTAAAACACTAGTGCAGGGGCGCCTGGGTGGCTCAGTCGTTAAGCGTCTGCCTTTGGCTCAGGTCATGATCCTAGAGTCCTGGGATTGAGCCCCACATCGAGCCCCGCATCGGGCTCCCTGCTCTGCGGGAAGCCTGCTTCTCCCTCTCTCGTTGTGCGTCTCTCTGTCAAATAAATAAATAAAATCTTAAAAAAAAAATAAAACACTACTGCCATCCAAGAACTCATTATTAATCACATTATCACAGTATCTTTTGGGGCCCAGGGTGATTATATGTGTACTTTATGCCCTAGTTGGAGTTTTTACGGGATTACTGAAGCTGAGACAACCAGACAAAACTGAGACCAACGAGCCCTGCTCTTGCTTGGTTGAAGAGGGAAGGAAGAAACATCATTAATAATAGAGAATATCTACCGGGTACATATCATGCGCCCAGGGGTTCTACTGGTGTTATCCTCACAACAACCTGGGAGGTAGGCGTTATGCTTATCTTCATTTTATATATAGGGAAGGTAAAACTTGGCAGAAATTAAACCTTCCATCATGAGCTTTCTTTAGGAGGCCCCAGATGAGCATCTGAAACCTGCAGTTTAGTTGACCCAGCAGGCTTGCTGCCTTAGTTGACAAGAGCTCAGGACATTTCCTTGTGATTGCTGCATTGGAAATTACCTTCTCCACCCCTCTCCCAGAAGAAACCAGGACCTTACCCCCCTCTCCAGTCCAGAGGGGCTCACAGCAGTATACAGCCAGCCCCTGCTGATGGACGACACCTGCAATGTGACAGTACCAACAGCAGGCTCACCAGCTCGCGACAGGGACTGGGCTCTACATTGCTGTTAGTTGTTACAAGAAGCATGTGAGGAAGATTTCGTCAATTTCTTTTCTTTTTTTTAATAAGAAATAGGAGAGTTAGAAAGGTTAGGTGACTTCTCCAAGGTCCCAGGTCACAGGACTTGCAAGTGGTACGGCTGGGATTGCAACTCCCATCATCAAAGCCCATCACTGTCTCATTGTACTTATTTCCTGATTCTGTTTCCCAATTAACTCTGCCTCTACTGCACCTCCCCCAGCCAACACAAATATGAAAGAATTGCTTTTATATCCACAGAAGATATTGATGAAGTAAAATCTTACAAGTGGCACGACCTTAACTAGTAATGCTTAGGGTATATTTAGAATCTAGGATTCCTCTGCTTTCCCCCTACTAGTCTTGGTCTAAGTGGAGTTAGGTTCAAATCACCAGGTTACACTTCTGGGTTGGGTCAAGCTGAATCTTGACAACTCTCGAATACTTAAGACATAGTCTACCTGGTTAAAACTTCTACTGAACAAACTTTTTCATCTACTCAAGATATTCTCAGCCTCTAGAACACACCAAGTTTCCCCTAGATAGTCAGTCCCTGGGGAAGAATGATACTAGATGAATTTATTTAACTTATTTCAAGAAATTAGCAGGTTGGGTTCCATGTTAATAAGCCCCGATTTTGTTCACTGCAACAATGCACCCACCTAAAAAAAAAAAGTACATTTCCCAGTCTCTCTTATAACCAAGAGTGACCCAATCCAAACCAGTGATAGATACACAGAGAGTGCTGGGTAGAGTTTCCAGAGAAGATCTTTAAAAGAGGAAAAGACACTTGACTGTCTTGTTCCTTTTGCTTCTGCATTCACACCTCAACTTCTTCAAGTTCAGAACACAACTTCATGTCCAGTAATGACTGGAGCCCCTGCAGCCATTCTGTCAGCATAAAAGTGAGGGCTATCCACTAGAGTGAAGACTTAGAAGGAGCTCCTGAGGACGCTGTGGAATCACCATACCAACCCCGAACAGACCCCCTAAGGAATTCCTTGTATATGGTTTAAGTCACTGTTTCCAGGTTTCTCCATTACTCTTAGACATATGAAATTACTGATATGGAAATTTAAAACTCATGCGAGCACACAGATACTAGCATAAGAGAACACATGCTCAGGATTATGGGAGGCCATGGAGTAAGCAGCAATGAGGAGGCAGGACTGTGTAATGGTTACAGTCAAACAGAACTTCTACATTCAAAGCCCAAACGTGAGGCTCCCTAGCATACTATGTAACCTTAGACAACGAAAGTCCCCAAGTTTGTAAAATACATGACCCTATAAAATTTATAATCATCAAATTAGATTATGTATATAGAGTATGTGATAAGACACCTAGCACACATATAGTTTTAGTAAACAGTGGCTATTAAGTATTATTTTTATCTTCATTATCAGTGCACTACATGGCTTCTTTAAGACCTGAACATTTCTAGGAGATAAGGAAGGGAAGAAGAAAAATCTGATGAATGGTCTTTGGGGTCCTATTGATGGGGAAGGATAGGGTCAACCAATCATTCTTACAGATTATGTCAAAATCCTATGGGGTATTCAAATCCTAAAGCTGAAATTTCACATGCTGAGCGTACATGTACCCATCAACACTGGCAGATCAACACCCTCGCCAGAGAAAAACAGCACCTGGCTCCATCCCACTGTGTTACGTAATGAAAAGAACATACATTTCAGAATCGGGTGAGTTTTGATTCAAGTTCTCACTAGGTTGGTGATGCGAGCATCTCTCTCCCCCGTCTCCTCATCAGTAATATGGACACACTACTAGTTACCTCCTGGGCTGTAGAAGGTGAAGTGCTTGGCAGAGGCTGGGCCTTCACACACAGTTAAAATCTAAGTTTCCATCCTCTCCTTCAAACCTCCAAATAATATCCAAGTCTCATAGGCTCTTTTAAGCTGCTAATGAGAGAAATGCTGCTAATGGTTCATGAAAAAGTAAACAGTGGGATAGTCCCCGGACAGAGGGCCAGACCCCAGAAGTCAATGTATGAGGGCACAATTCCTTGCCCCTTCCGGCAAGGG